ACCATAGTGTGGTTACCATACATCCTGCCTGAGTCATCGGTACATTCGCATCGGGGCAGGCTGGGTCATGATAAAGCACGGTTGACCAAGTAACACAGAGCTCAGTGATCTCGGCGCTCACTGAGCTAACGCAGTATTCTGTACTGCAAACCACGTCGTGTCGGTATTGGGCCAAGGTCTTTGGCTATATTTCAACGAGCACAAGGCGACTCGGCGTCGTAGCCCCGATCGCGTGGTGCAGTTCGTTAGTGCTTCTACCCTTGAGCGCGCCATCTTATCGAATCAATCTCCAGTGTTGCTGTCATGATGATAACGTGATTGTGTTGACATCGCTATCGCGGCTGAACCATTAAAGATAAGCACCCACGCGAGTTGCGGCTTGTCCGCCTCTCTCATCCATAGTCTTGGACAACCGTGATGACGTTGTGGGTTTTGAGTGTTCTCAAACCCACGAGCTTCAGCGGATCACAAGGGCGTACTCAGCACAAGTGGTACCGTAGCAGTCTTGCTCTTAATTTTCAAGCCGGTTTAGCTTTGTGGTAGAGCGTCAGTCTTGTAAACTGAAGGTCGGCAGTTTGATTCTGCCATTCGGCTATGTCTTGTTCCATCCACTGAAAACTCCTGTGGCTACAAGCTCCAGTGGATCACAAGGGCATACTCAGCACAAGTGGTACCGTAGCAGTCTTGCTCGAAATTTTCAAGCCGGTTTAGCTCAGTGGTAGAGCGTCAGTCTTGTAAATTGAAGGTCGGCAGTTCGATCCTGCCATCCGGCTATGTTTTTTGTGATTAAGTGCTCCCAAACCCACGATCTTCAGCGGATCACAAGGGCATACTCAGCATAAATAGTAACGTAGCAGTCTTCTGGCCTATTTTCAACCCGGTCTAGCGTAGTGGTAGAGCGTCAGTCTTGTTTTCACATCTCTTGTCGCTAGTTTATTATTTCATCGCGCGTGTACATTGCATTCTCTTTGGTATTACAACTGCCTTTTCTAATTAATGTTCTTAACTTACGGTTATTACGGTTACTTAAGATTTATTAGCGTTTGGGGACCTTTCTTTAAGTTGAACTGTGTCGTCGGATATACAGTAGTCATCAGATTCTATCGACGATAGAGCGGCGCTCGCCGAAGATGGTCCAATTTCGAACTCTGTTCGTCGAGACCATTGCTGGATATACTTTCTATCAACCCCCTCGGCATCTGATAATCACGAGCGACATCCGGTTGATGCGGTCCAATCTCCAGTCTGAGTTCGTCTGTAGACACGCTCTTTGTTTCGCGGGCTTGATAAATGCAAGCGGTCATGCGTGTTTGTACGAGAGTTGAGTTTACCATGAGACTGATCATCACAGCTCTAGTCAAGTGTTACTCTCCGTTACTGAGCAGTTTCCTGTATCTCTATGGCAAGGTGCGCCGCAGATGTCTCATACACCGCTTACCGTTGCACCACAGCACCCCGAAGCGCTCAGCATTCTCCTGACCTACACCGGCGTACGGTTTCTGATAACATCATTTATTGGACCAACAGAGTCAATAAGAGGCCTTTATGCAACTTGCCATCAACTGCATAGCATCGTGCCTATTGGTTCGCATACGACGCCTAAGGTAGGGCTTTTTCGCTCGTCGGATTATCGGTAGGAGTATCCGATTTCAGACTTTCTATCGCAATGGATTTCTGCTGTGGCCTACGAACACAGAGGATATGCTGCATGAAAGTCTTTGTGAATACGTGGCGATGCCTGAGGATGCTGCTCTATTGGACACTATCTTCATCACGTGTCTACACACTCCTCAAGTACTATCCCATTCCCGGTATCATCAGCATCTTAAACTTATGTGTGCTTATTATGTCAGTCATTGAGAGCGCGCA